CAAGCCATTGGTAGGATTTCTTGATATCAGCCACTTCAGTTATGCTCCGGTGGTACGCCCCATGTAGGGGTTTGTCCTGCCATGATGGTCCCTCCAGCACCTCTTCCTCTGGACCCCACTGTCTGAGACATTCTCTGAGCACCTATATATATATATATATATATATATATATATATATATATATATATATATATATAAATAATGGGCAGAAGCAACTTCAGGCTTCCATAGACCTCCATTAAGTTGCTCCAACTCAGTGCACTCAAATTTATTTACTTATTTTACATGACTCAAATAAGTGATTTATTTATTTAACATGATAAAAAATATGTCTATGCACGTCACAATCACGCGAATGAGTAGAGTATTAAAAAATTTGAGCCAAAATAACTATGGAACGTTGTTAAATCCAGTGGCAGTGAAGCAGTAGTAGATCAGAGCAATGATGTGTTGAATACAGGAGAATAAAGATTATTCAAACATACAACAGTCACACTAAATACAACCTCCAGAGGGTCAGTGAGAAGGGAAACAATCAGAACTTATATTTTGCAGGATTGGTCACTTTAAACCCGTTAGTACAGTGTTTCCCAAACTTTTTTTCTGGGGGCCCAAATTTTAAAAGTCACAAACCTTCACGACCCAAGTCAATAAACATTAATCATAAAACACAAAATAAAGGTGGATTTGAGCATTATTGAACAAGAATGAGGATATTTTATTGTTGACACTGATCGTTTCTCTGAACAGTTCGTATTACTCAAGTTTTAAACAATGAAGAACAGTCATTGAAGCAGCAAGAGAAGGATCCAGAAGTGACCTATTGGACATTAAATGTAGAACATTCAGAGCACAACAGCACATCCGGCGTATAGGTTGAACTGTATATTATAGACCTACATGCAGATCGTGACAAGGCCTTTATGTTATAAGGTTATTATTGTGTACAACTGTGGTATTTGTAAGTCATTATTGACAAATTATTGAAAAGTATTGACAATAGTCACATAAGATAATGTAGTGCAAAGATCACACCTTACACCTTATAACAACTGCATGGTTTACAGTTCATTTGATGGAATGGATGGATGGAGGATGGACATTTCTTGTAAACCGCAGATGGATGTAAAAGAATAAGATGTGCTGAGCTGCTAAAATGCTGATGCTGGACTTTTCACTTCTGTACACAAACTATTTCACATCACCATTTCTGTGAATTCTTAAAGAGGCACTTCCCTTTAATACTTAATACTGATTCTCCAGGGAAAAAAGACACAGTGACTCAAATATCACAATATAATATAATAAAAGAGAAAAAATGGTTTAAATGGCAATAATACATTTTAAATCCGTAGAAAAAAGAGCAAGAGACAGGTGTGAAATAAGGCATGATTATATTAATTTAAACGTACAAGTCAAAATAAAATAGAAAGTTATAAAATAGTAATAAAATATGAAATCTCAGCTTTATACAAGAGGTAAGAAAGACAGAGCAACAATGATGAGATGATTGACAGGACATAGAGTTCTCTGTTACATAAGGGTGAGTTGAACAGTTGTAGGGAGTATTATCTGTTACATAAGGGTGAGTTGTACAGTTGTAGGGAGTATTATCTGTTACATAAGGGTGAGTTGAACAGTTGTAGGGAGTATTATCTGTTACATAAGGGTGAGTTGAACAGTTGTAGGGAGTATTATCTGTTACATAAGGGTGAGTTGTTGTACACTTGTAGGGAGTATTATCTGTTACATAAGGGTGAGTTGTTGTACACTTGTAGGGAGTATTATCTGTTACTTAAGGGTGAGTTGTACAGTTGTAGGGAGTATTATCTGTTACATAAGGGTGAGTTGTTGTACACTTGTCAGGAGTATTATCTGTTCCATAAAGGTGAGTTGTTGTACAGTTGTAGGGAGTATTATCTGTTACATAACGGTGAGCCACTTTCTATTCAAATGTAAATAAAAGCTGAGAATTTTTTTTTCCCACAATGATTTGCCTCTTGTACATCGTCTTATATCTTCTGGGAGACGCCTGTGTCATTTCCAATATATATTAGGGCCGGGCACATTGACGCGTTCATTTTGCATTAACTACTCAATTCATTATCGCCGACAATTATTTTATCGCCGTTAACGCACTTTTTATTATTATTATTATTTTTATCATTAACGTCTGATGCTCACTGGCTTTTATTTTGAAATAAAAGCAAGCGTTTCTTTAAGTTTGATGTCTTTTCTTTACACATTCTTCTGACCATGTGAGATGCAACATGTTCGAGCCTCCGTGAGCCACGGGCTCGGCCTGGCTGCGGAATCGGAGCCCACGGCTGGGCAAAAATAAAAAATATTATTCGCAGTAATCGCATGAGTTTGAGTGTGATTAATCGCGATTAAAATTGAATTAAAAAGTGGCGTACAGTGCACTTTTATTGGAAATGTAAATGAAAGAGCCATACATTTGTTGTGCAAACAGCATTTCTTTGTTTTAACTTTATATTTATGCACACGTATCTACAGTAAGTTTTTGCTTTAAAATATGTACATTTTATTTTGGTGAGATGTACTTTAACTGCTGAAGTATTTGAAGATAAGTCAAAAATCTGTTTTTAGGGATGCACCGATACAGATACTCCCTTAATATACTTGTACTCGTACTTGTTAAACATTTGTTGATACCACACACCGATACCACTACTACACGACGCATTACACAGTAGCTCGGTTTCAGTGTCCTGAATAAGAGAATATCCTGTTTATGAGAAACACGGATAAATCAAGTGACTGTACATGAGTGAAATGACTGTTAAAGAAAGAGCTGTGTACGATTTTGTTGACGTACGACCTGCACACGTATGATCTCCGAAAAATTTAACATGAACCATCTCCAACACGATAGACACACAGAACAGACTCACCATCAGCAGAACATCCCTCTGTCACAGAGAGAACACATATATTCCACTGAGTCTTGTCTTTTAGTCCAACAGAAAGAAAAGCGAGCAGTTTTTCAGCGCTTATCATTTATGCAAATGAGCCATGTGGTTTTAAGTTTTGTTTCTGTAAAACATAAACAAATGTGCACAAAGCTGCATTAAACACATGATAATCTCATGGTTGTGTATTTCTGGTTAATTAAATATATAATTTTTGAGCTTGTGCATTTGTAAGATTATGTCAAGAAACCAAGATACTCCATTTGATCATGTACACAGGGATAAGAGTATCCCGGGATACTCCATTTGATCATGTACACAGGGATAAGAGTATCCCGGGATACTCCATTTGATCATGTACACAGGGATAAGAGTATCCCGGGATACTCCATTTGATCATGTACACAGGGATAAGAGTATCCCGGGATACTCCATTTGATCATGTACACAGGGATAAGAGTATCCCGGGATACTCCATTTGATCATGTACACAGGGATAAGAGTATCCCGGGATACTCCATTTGATCATGTACACAGGGATGTGAATATCCCGGTTTCTCAGCGCACATGTAAACAGCAGTTCCTGAATACTGCCATAACCAGGATATGACGAATAACCAGGACACTGATGTACATGTAAACACACTCAGTGTATGTTCATGGGGGTGAAAATATCAGTATCGGTACTCAGTATCGGCAAGTACACAAATGATTATACCCGTACTCGTATTGGTTTTCAACAAAGATAAATCATTCATGAGAATCACCCAACTGCTGCTGTGATTTTGGGTTTACAAAATAAATTGAATATGATTTCTCAGAGCTGCAGGTGTTTCTTCTGTTCCTCTTTCTGTGGTTTCAGGAAAAGCTGCTAAAATGCTGATAATCGACTCTCACTTCTGTGCACACTGCATCTCCACCCTCATTTCTGCTCTTTTTTTAACTTCTTCACGTTTCTTTAACACTTGACCTTTGACCTCATATTCGGGATCTCTAAGAAATTTTTTCCTCGAAGTCTCCTCCTCTATCCACAGTCACTTGTTGGGCCTTATAAATGTGGCGATGACAGCTTCACAGACTGTACTCTCCTGCACATTGAGGACCTGGACTTCCTCGAGTGGCTCCTGTCTGTGTGGAATCTGCTGCAGTCTGAACATCTGTCTCCAAACAACATCTTCACTTCTGACGGTGAGCGCCTCTTCATGTTTACAGACTGTAACCTGAAGCTATTCTAACATCTACAAGATCTCTGAGAGAATTTTGTAACATTCAAAATCAACAAAATCATTGATTTAAACAACAGAAAGTTAGAAAATCAAAAGGACTAATCCAAGACTAATGAGCATCCTCCTGCAGATAGAGTTCAAGTGTGTAGGGTCAGAGCCCACTCAAGACTGAGACACAGAGAGGGGCTCATCCAGGACAGAGGAGGGTCATCCAGTCAGGTGAGAGAAGAGGAGGATGTAGGTCCACAGAAGTGAATCAGGGCACAGGAGAGGTATCTAGAGTCCAGTCAGCACCGAGAAGTCAGTGGGAGGACAGGGAACGAGACATGGAACAACTTATGAATAGCAAAGAACAGACTCCAGGTGAACTGAACAGTGAAATTTTATTGACAGGCAAAGTAGAAGAATCCAGAAGATAGTGCCTTCCCATAGTTACTATACTTCCCCAGCAGACTTTGAGCTGAGCTCAAACTCTGGGTTTTATTTCTGTTCTTAACTGGCCTGGCCATTTCAAAGAGGAAATATTAAGGCTGGTTTTCCTTGCAAATCCTTTTGTTGGGTTTGGATCACACAAGAAGGATCTGATCTAAACAGAAATGACTGTAGTGTTTTCACAGTCCAGAAGACATCAGGTCAGTGCAGCCATGGCACAGTAAAAGAACTTATTTTTAGCTTTTCTGTACATCTGGACTTTGAAGGGAACACAGACATTATTTTGGGTTAACTAAATATACATCTTATATTCAGCTTTGTGAGAGATGGTGTGTGTGTGTGTGTTTTCACTGTTTGATTTTCTAACTTTCTATTGGTTAAATCAATGATCTTGTGGATTTTGAACTTCACAAAACTACACTGAACTTTGCTTTCATAAATGTGTGTGTGTGACAGTCTGACAGAGTGTGTTCTTCTGCAGTGGTCACACTCGTCTCATCTGCTTGGAGTTGGACCACAGCACACTGAGGACCTGGAGTCTGTGTGGAATCTGCTGCAGTCTGAACATCTCCAAACAAGCTTCTTCACATCTGACGGTGAGCACCTCTTCATGTCTAGAAACTGTCATATAACATTTGTATTTTATTAAAAGGAACTGTATCTACAAAGGTTTCGACTCTGGCAGGTTCGAGGTTCAGTTGTGATTGTAGCACCTTTTTAAAACTACATACAGCTACATACAGTTCCTTGTGTTTGGTCCTATAGTTTTGTCATGTGAGAACAGCTAAAGCTTCAGCTCCTACAGAACAGAGAGCACACATGAGGACTGTTCAGTTGGACTTTGTCACAGTTAGTTGGAACTGGAAGCTGGTACTTTTTAAATGACGTTTTTTCCTGTTTTATTTTGTGAACAGAACAATGAAGAGATCCAGAGCCATCCTCGTCTGGCTCCTCACTCTGGCAGCACTGAGCTGTGTCTCTGCTAAGACTTTTCTAAAGCTCAACTCCACACAGGATCTGAAAAGAATTTATGCAGAAAAAGAAAATCCTGTTTCTGCGCACAGCCTCCCTCTGCTCCACCTGCTCGCCAACCACGTTTCTATCGACAATAACACCCATGTCTATCCAGATTTTGACCCAACTACAGATTATGGGTCCGACCCCTATGAAAACCCTGAAAATTTGCTGGACAGAGACTGCAAATATTACACTTTAGGCAATGTTAATAAGAAATTCAATGACTCCAAGACCATTCCTCCATATGTGCGTCATCCCAAAGGTCTGAACATGCCCAATATGAACAGGGCTCGCATTCTCCTTTGCCTAAGCTACAATGGAAAAAGGTGGCGCATCCACCAAGTGTATCTCACCCAACATTATGAATCCAGGTCTCAGGGCACTGCACATGACCCAGCTCGCACCTTTGAAATAAGCCCCGAGCTGCTCCGAGAACTCCAAGAGTTTTCATTCAACGACGATGTGGCGGCACTGCAGAGGCTGAGGGACCAGTACAACCAGAACATAGACAACTCCCAGTTAAACAGCATTATAAACACATGGGGGAGAGAGCAAGCTCCTCTAGGGCTGCTTATATTACACATGAACCTATCCAGAAAAAGGATGAAACGCTATGGTGCCCCAATACCAAGCCAATGTGAAAAGTTTGATCAGATGCATGTTGCTGTGGTGACTGGAAGCAATGGATATGCTACTATTGTGTGGAGAGATGTTTATCAGAGCTGGATAGATAAACAAGCAGCTATATTACTCTTCAATTCGAACGATATACTACAAACATACATAGTACTTGAAAGCAGTAGTGGCAGTTATGAAACTTCGGTATCACTGAACGACGGGCTTCAGGCGAGGTTGAAAAATTACGGCGATTTCGGGCTCAGGTTATCGTTAATAGGAGAGTACTGCAGAAGTCCAGAATTTCAAAGTCCAAAGCCAGTTCCGATTGAAAACTACAACTTCGCCAAACTGCAGCTCTTTGTTCGAAATGGCTATAGCTGTTTCCGTGTTTATATACACAAATTATTATCATTTGGAGCCTAGTTTTTCTGATGCCTGGGTAGCGCTGTATGAGTCTTATAGAGAGAGCACAGATAACTACAACTCTGGGCAGTGGCAGTGGGTGACCTACTTTGCTGAAGGCCCTGATTCTGGTAAATATAAGACTTACGAGTACTGCACTGATACAGCAGTTGCTAAAGGACTCCAAGCGCGGTTTATGATCAGAGATTACCAGGAAATAGCAACAACTCCAATATGGGTTTAATCTCAGATATTTTACGGAACTTTTAAAATCCTAGTTAAGCAGTTTAGTAAACATATATCTGCAGATGTTTTGCAAAATTCATAATTTTTTGTACTTATTATGTTTAATATGACCCACCAACAACTCCAACAATGAATAATAGAAGCCCCTTCCACCAGTGACGTCCCATTAACCATGTGAAACAAACAAAACATTATTTCTCAGGTGTTTTGTGTTGAGTGTCAAGAAGTTGTAAAAAAATGTAATATAACTTTAATACATGGGAGGTGAGATTTTGGAATTGTTTGGACATCCTATTTTAGATGGAACCTTTTAACTGGCTAATAATACATTTAAAAACTATTTTATAACCCTTTGCAAGTAATCAGTAATGTATTCCAATCAGAAATGATTTGTATGATTGTCAGTTTTGTGTTTTATTTCTAAGTGTTTCATTTGTTGTTGTTGTGTGTTGTATGGGAACAACAGGAAGAGCAGCCGGTGTCACTGACATCAGCTCATGTGGATCCCAATCAAAATCAAAAATCAAATCAAATCTCAGAGTGATGTGTATTTTATGCTCTAATCAACATTGCATGTATAATTATGTGGAATGTTCTACTCTGATTATAATAAAAAGACAAAAACATGATTAGTCTGAATGTGATTCATTTATTTAAAAAAGACTCACAACAGTTTTAACAGTAAACATTTCTCAAATCTGTTGGCCGTGTCTTGTACATATATCACTCTTACCATTTTCAAATTATTAATTAAAATAGAATTTCCCTTGACTTCATTTGGAAAGGGCTCTCTCTACTGGATGTACATTAAACTTCTTTTTTCATAACCTCTAGCGTGTTCTGCAGTGACTCAGGGTGCACACTTAGACAACGTTTATATGATGACGTCTGAACAGAAAACACAAAAGTGGCATCGTGTCTTCACTTTTTATTCTGCGTTTATACGAGCATTTTCAGGAGGAAATCTGCGTGCATACGGTGACGCAAAAGCAGGGGTGTAGTGGGTGTGGTACACGGGGTACACCTTCCACCCACTTCTCCCAACGTGAGATATTAAAAAATAACAAATATAAAATGCCTACAACTTAAATGTCAAACTGGAGCTATTGTTATCCAATCCAGCTATCCAGTGTGTACGCTTTGCAACTAAAACATTTGTGTGTTTAATTGGTTTCTTTTTGTATATGGACTGACGGGGTGTAGTGGGCGTGGTACACAGGGGTACACCTTCCACCCTCTTCTCCCAACGTGACATATTTTTTAAAATAACAAATATTAAATGCCTATAACTTAAATGTCAAACTGGAGCTACTGGCACTGGTGAAAACAACCTGCACAGGCTCATGATGTCTGCACTACTGTCCTATAGAGCAGTGAGTTTCAACCACTGTGCCGCAGCACACTAGTGTGCCGTGAGAAATTATCCAATATCACTTTTTTTAAATTAAAATGTATTAATTATTACCTGCAAATATTATGTCATTGTCGAGTGTCCGTGCTGTACTTACTACAGCACGGACACTATACTACAGTGTAGTATATAATGACTGGCAGAGTGATCTCATAGTCGTCCGGGTGGCAACAGGCAGCTAATTGCCTCGTTCCTTTAAAAGAATTAGTAACGCATGTGTGTGGTGTCAGTCATGGAGAAGCAGAGCTTTTCAAGCTTAACTGCTATAAAAACTAAAAACAGAGAGAGACTGAGAGCTGTTGATGAAGAGCTTCGTGTGTGTCTTTCTTCTATTCCTGCCAGGATATCAGCTTTGTGTTCATCTAAACAGGCGCAGGTCTCACACTGAGTAAGTAGAAATTAATGTAGAAATGATATTGTAATTAAATATACTAAATAGTGTCATTTTGTAACATTTTGGTTAGTGGTGTGCCGCAAGATTTTTCCAATGTAAAAAATGTGCCGTGGCTCAAAAAAGGTTGAAAAACACTGCTATAGAGGGACCAGGACTAAACCAGGACTGAACCAGGACTGAACCAGGACTGAACCAGGACTGAACCAGGACTGAACCAGGGTTGAACAAGGACTGAACCTGGTGTAGTCCCAGTATAGTCCTGGTTTAGTCCTGATGCAGACCTGGTTTAGTCCTGATTCAGTTCTGGTTTAGTCCTGTTTACTCATAAACTCATAAAACAGCAGCATGTAGCCTGTAGCTTTCTACACAGCTCGCTGCACATCAGCCTGGAGCAGAAGCTCTGAGTTCAGGTAACAGCGTTAAAGACACAAATGCACTCACTGTCATGCGCAGCCCCTCAGGACAGGGCTGGGTATCTTGTCCTTGGTCTTGTGCTGTCCTCAGTTTATGTTGGTCAGATAGTCCTCCATGTCCTGGTTCCACAAGGGGGCGAGCAAGACCAGGTGTGCAGTGGACTGGGTCCGAGTGGTTCCGTGCAGTCGTCTGTGCACTGGTTCTTTGCGGGGAACACGAGAATGTGCAGTGAACTACAGGTCCTGCTCTGGTCCTTTGTGCTCAAGGACTGTGGCTGGTTCTGAGGTGGTGCAAAACATCCGGACAGAAGCATGAACCCAGTTTGGTTGGTTATATATTGTTCTGAGCGTCTGTCCTCCGTGCACTCCAGGTTCTTTCTAGGAAAAGTGCTTCTCAGGCTGAGGCTCCTAACATCCCCGCTCCAGCTCCTCTGAGCCCGGCCTGAACCCGAGCTGCTCCCACTGGTTCAGTACTCTGGTTTGTATCTAGTCCGACTGTATTTCTCACAATAGGCTAAAAGCAGGGCATTGTTGAAGTTGAGTCAATTGAATAAGCTATTGCCTATTGCCATAAAATTATTTGGTTAATTAATAGCCTTAAATAACAAATATTGATTGCTACGTGAACACGGGGAACACCGAGACCTCTCTGTTCATGCACCATCACCCGTTCTTTCAGGTCTCATCCATATCCGTCTGGCTCGCCTGCAACAAACTGGTGCCTCCAAAATTTGACAGAGGAGGTTGACCAGCCCTTTCAACTGAATCCATCCAGGTTTTGCTCTTGCTCTTTTCACTTTGTATTTTGATCTAAAAAACCAGCACAATAGCCAACTGTGTCCTTAGACTTTGTGAATACACCTGTTAGAAAATATGTAAAAACTTGAAGATAATTACAGTGGCCTCAGAGAAAGCCAGCACACCAAAGTGACAAGCTAACCATGTGTTATAGTTGGCAGAGTTTTGGGCCACAAACTTCCTGAGAAAGGTTTGAGAGTGTTGAAACATTAAACACAAAAGCTCCTCTGTCATCTCTCTCTCTCTCACACACACACACGCACGCACACGCACGTGCACGCGCACGCACACGCACACACACACGAACACACACGATGTGGTCGCACTCAGGGTGCGAGCTGGAATAGAAAATAACTTTGGGTGTGAATGTAACCGGGGTTAAATTCCATTTATTTGGACCCGCCCACTGTTTTGTTGAAATGCTCCAGTTCCCTGACCACTGAGTCCATTGCACAATTTTTCTGGTTTGACCTGCTCGTCTCCATGACGATGTCATTGCTTCACCTGGAATGTTCCATGGGATGTGCATATGTATGTGGTATGTACATTTCCAGCAAGCATTCATTCATTATGGGTGTTTCTGTTACTCAAAATTTCCATAATTCCTTGAGTGAATAAGTCTACGTCTAAACTGTGTTATTGATAGTTATCTCGCCGCATTCACGTCACCACATTGACGTGGAGAAACAGCTATCATCCAAGCCCTGGGTTTCAAAATGGCCGCCCATTCAAGTCAATGGGCCGAGCTCTATGGCGCACGATCCCAGATTAACCTTGAGCCCTGCTAGGTACTTCCGGTGGCTGTGAGACGACCGAACATGTGCAGTAGAGTCTTTTCTCCTGCGGGTACACACGAATGCATGCGAGCGCACACACGCAACTGAAGGATTTTGAGCTTAGAAAAAGTTTATGATCTAAAAATAGGTAAAAATCTATGGAGTAAGAAAGTTTTCAAAAATATTCGTGCACATAGAATATAAATCCGTGCGTATCTGGGAAATCCGTGCATATTTGGCTGTAGTTGCGCATAAAATAAATATTCGTAAACTCTCAAATGAGTCCAGTCGTACATAAAATAGACTGTGTGTATTTTATCCATCAGAATACAAATTGAAAAGTTACAACATCAAGAATTACAATCACGAAATGAAAATTTACTATTACACTTTCATCAGTACGAATACGAATTCACAGACGGGACTTTACTGTCAAAAATACGTCATCACTTCACAGACATTTATCGAGCAGTAGAAACATCGATCAAGATCAAGACTGTGCATGTTTAAGTTTGTAGTAGAGGGAAATTGGAGTAATGGCACAAGAAGGAGCTACAACAGCAACCAACAAGTGGGTTCATTCAAATATATTGTAAAAATGTCTTGTCTTGCCACATTGAATTTGTGAACCGAACGCTGATGTGTGATATTGTGTAGAAACACCTCCTCTGAACGGGAAACTGCACCTAGATCTTAGTAGAAACACAGTGGAGCCAGTTGGCGAACATCAGACTTAACGTTATCACAGGGCTAATTAGAAAATATCAGCGTTTTCTGCATGTTTAGATTAAAACATTCATGGCTACAGCCACAGCAAGTATGACTGGACTCATTTGAGAGTTTATGAATATTTATTTTATGCACAACTACAGCCAAATAAACATGGAAGCAAGCACGGATTTCTATTCTATGCTCACGAATATTTTTGAAAGCTTTCTTACTCCATAAAAATCACCAACAAATCTGACATTTTTGAAAGTTGTAGGTGTCCTGTCAGCCGAACACGAGCAGTTTGTGATTACATTGCCTCTATGAGAAAAATATTGTCTCGGCCCATGGGATTTTTTCCGCTGTAGAACCAGTGAGTGTCACTACATCAACTCGAGGCAGCTACAAGCAGCAATACCCTCCAGTTATTTGAACAGATCCATGCTATCATCCAACCCCAAATATGTATAGCGTGTAACTGCTTGGTAATTCACTTTACAAAAGCCTTAAGTAGGATGGAACTTTCTCTGCCAATCTAAGACACTGGGAACCTATTATATTCCTATATCGTTAGCTATGTCCATTTTAATATACTGTACAGTCTGTGGGTGTTACCTGTCTGCAGCTATGTTGACTGAGGACTAGTCTCTGAATTTTGTGACCAGTTCTCTCACACACACAGACACACTCTCACAGACACAGGGGGCACATGCAAACTTCACACAGGCAGACTCATCATTTTTTATTATGGGACAGACTTTCTGATTGCTGCAGACATGAACATTAGCAGCAAAGGTCACTTTAACAATTATTGCATCACAAAAAACTAAAAATAATCATTTCAAAATTTTGCTTCACGAGGGCCCCATTCATCTGTGAGTTTAGTGAAATGCATATGGAAATCATTTTTGGTTCCTCGGCTGTTAGGGTGTGGTCAAACTTCAAACTGGTTTGGTCCTGGTGGAGTCCTGAGATGAACAGACCCTTGTCATGTCTGCCTGAGGTATTGTTAATTTGGGGACGACTCTCCACAGATCTGAATTGTAATGTAGTGTAGTAATGTTGTAATGTAACCTGCTTGTTGCTCTTGTGAAAGGTAGTGTAGGTTTCATCTGTGCTGTGGAAT